CAACATTATTATCAAACTGTGTAAATAAATAAGAATAAAATGTCTTAACACCTGCTGCTGTTTAAAAGAACTCCTCTCTACTTTTATTTTGAGGGATAAAATCCCTAACCCGGAAGTTGGTACCTGCTGCTCTATGCTGACGTGACTCCCCGGAATGTGGAACACGGAGGCCCCGCCTTCCTGGGCCGGAAACGTTCCGGGTACATGACGTCATGTCGTGATTGGCAGGAGTCGGGAGAAACAGGCCCTGCCCCCTCAATGATGTCATCACGAATGCTTTGAAACGTGTTGATTTGTTTTTGTTTGAGAATTAACAACAATAAACATAAACACTTTGTTTATTTTCTTAGGCTCTTATTGTGGAATGGTTTGTTTATTAAGGGTTTGTTTAAACTGACAGAACATAAACACAAAGATAAACAATAAAAACAATAACAAACAGAAAATAGAAAACAGTAAAATTATAAATCAGTAATTAAAAACATGACTGTAAACAACTTCCTGTTCTACGTTTATAAACAAGGTCATGATCTATGCTTATAAATAACTTCCTGTCCTATGATTATAAACATCTTACTGTTCTACGTTTATAAACAATGGCCAAATCAATGTTTATAAACATAATCCTGTTCCATGTTTACAAACAACTTGTTCAACTTCCTGTTCCATGTTGATAAACAACTTCCTGTCGTATGTTTATAAACTACTTCCTGTCCTACGATTATAAAAGACTTCCCGTCCACATCCTTGTTCACATACATCACAAAGTTGTTCGGCGCTTTGGCTTCACTCTTTTTATCGACTCGTCACATTTGAAGAACCTAAATTTCAGCGACAGCAGAAACATCAAACATCATCCTCATTAGGAACAAAGAACCAGAGGTGGAACTTTCTGAAGAACAGTTGATGAGACTGGAGTCAGGTTCTTTGGCTCTGAGTCACCAGGTTCTGATCTGATCTCTGCTGTTTCCAGCAGGTTGTTAGACTCGGTTCCACCATGTTCCCCTGGGCGGTTCTCTTGTGTCTGATCTGCAGGATCCAGTGTGGTCCAGCTGGTGAATGGGGGGTTGGAGATTATTTACAAGGCTGATTAGCTGTAAGGAGATTAAAGTGCAGGACAGTAAGTTACAGGCACCTGAAAACTCCTCTTCTCTGCCCCAATATCTGCTGCACGGCTCAAACTGTCAGCGGCCGTTAGACAACAGGAGGTCGGGGCAACGACGGACGAGCAGATGGAGTGACACGTCCTGAAGTCCTGAAGTCCTGAAGGTAACGTCTTCTAGATTTAGGGTGATTGGACGAGTGGATCCAATGTGGAACGTTCAGTGATTGTATATTTTATTGAATCTGACAGCTCAAAACTAAGCGTGAACTGAGCACACTCACAAACCACATTCTGTGGTGTGACCTGCAACAACTGATTGTGACTGGACACAAGTGTCAGAGTGAAATGTCTGAGGCGTTGACGATTTTTCAGTAAATCATGTGTGAAGCTTTGACCTTCTTCTCTCTCTGCAGCCATGAGTCGGAGACATAACCTACAGTCAACGTCCTAAAATACCTCATTAAGCTCCTTACGTTGCAGCGCGGAGCTGTCAGCGGTCTTCACCCAGACGTCCACACTGAACCCCGACCTCTGACCTCTGTGCCTCCCACACCTCTGTGGACTGGATGTGAGGACTTCACCTCGATGGGACAACAGACCTACTGGTCACTGACTGAATCATGATGTCACAGACACAAGCACGATCTTTATCTTCATCATCTTCATCATGGTGGGACGTTGATCGCTGATAAACACATCGATTGTCTCCACAAACAGATCAGGTCGTATAAAAAATATGTTTTTCTTCGAATTTGATGTCTTTGACACCATAGATTTCTGATGCAGCACCTAGTGCTTGCAAGTGGAGCAGCACCTTAAGGCACTCAGTTTTTCACAATGATTGTGAGCATTTGGACGTGATAAAATAAAAGCAGAGGACCGACATGGCTGTCGGTAAAGTGACCTTCACCAAGGTGGAGAGAGAGAAGCTAGCCGAGGTCCTCTGGCTGCTCAACTGGATCTCTGTGGTGACGGGGGTCATCCTCTTTGGCCTTGGCTTATTCCTCAAAATTGAAATTCAGAAATGGCAAGAAGTGATGTCAGAGCACGGGATCCTCTACGTGCCACATATGCTGATCACTACAGGCCTGGCCGCTGGCTGCATCAACTTCCTGGGCGGGAAGATTTGCCTGGACTGTGCTGACACCAACAAGTTCCTGCGCTGGAAGCTGGTGATGATGCCGTACGTCATCTGTACTTTCTTCTTCACCTCCTGCATCCTGGTGGGGGCGCTCATGTGCTACAGCATTCGTGGTCAGCTGGAGGAATCTCTGTTCCTAGGCTTAAGGAACGCCATGCAGTACTATAAGGACACGGACACGCCTGGCCGCTGCTACCTGAAGAGGACTCTGGACCTGTTGCAGATGCAGTTCCACTGCTGTGGGAACAACGGGTACCGGGACTGGTTCCAGGTCCAGTGGATCAGCAACCGGTACCTGGACATGAGTAGCAGAGCTGTGGAAGAGTAAGTAGATTCACCAGAGTCTGTTCAGATCTGTTCAGGATTTGAGAGGATGTTTGATCTACTTGATAATCTGGATTCTTGCAGATTCATTCTCTAGAGCAGGGGTTTTCAAAGTGTGGGAGAGTTAGCCCCCCCTTCGGAGAGCAAATAAACAACTGCCCCCCCCTTTTTGCTTTTGCTATACTTAATGTTCTATTCATACTCAAACAATGGTTGTTGAACTAATTTTTACACATTTAAAACTTCTGTACTTTTTTTAAACACCTCACATCACCACAATCGCGCCCCCCTGAAGAACTCTGGCTCCCCCTAGGGGAGGCGCACCTCACACTTTGAAAAGCTCTGCTCGAGAGGAGCCTAGTGAATCCTCTAGACAACTACTTTGAAATCTACTCGATCCTATTGGATCAAAGTGGATTTTTTTACGATTCCAGTGGATTCTAATGAGTTTTAAGTGACTAGTCTCAACAGAGTAAAGATCAAACTAGATTCAACAGGACCTCACAGTTAGTGGACAGATGAAGGTAACTCCAAGACCTTGTGAGTTCATCAACAAAAACACAATCTGATTGGCTGTTTGTCCTTCAGTGATCAAACTTCACAACCCTCTTAGTTTTAACAGATGATCTGAAATTATTTCAGGTCCATTCTAACGGATCTTCAAACCTCACATCCTCCAGTCCAACATCTAGATTGAGGGAAATCCATTAGAATGAACCTTAGTTAAATTATACTGTGTAACAGCAGCCTCTCCTGGTCTGCAAAGGAATCTAGTGGATCTAGCTGGAAAGCAGCTGCTTATTCATAGACACTTGAGCACTTTATTGTTTTATAAGCTGTTTTCAGACATGAACTCAAGAAACCGTCCAGAAAATTGTGTCTGGATGTTTTCCTAATGTTTTCTCACTCTGACATTTTCCAGACATTTCAAGAGGACTCTGCAGGAGAAGGTCCAGAAAATTTCCAGAGACACTGACTCAGACATTTGTTCTCACATACAGAACCTGCAGAACATTTGAGGAACATGTCTGGAACACATCAGGAACATGCCTAGACTTTAGTGCAGCTCTGAAAACGACTTCAGTGTAAAACTCAACTTGATCCGTATAGACGTGTAGTTTATGTGACATTCAGTCACAGCTGGAGAAGCTTGTTGACATGAATTCATACAGATGTTGGACGGCTTTACCGACTGCTTCTGATTGGTGGATTTTCTTCAGCTTTGAATCATTGATTGTTTTATCTGATGAAGGTGTGACAACAGAAACTTTGTAAAAAGGAACTTCAGATTGTGACTCATGGTGACATTTTTCGATCATTTGATAGGAAACTATTTTCTCAGATTGAGGCCTCTGGTCCACTGCAGTTCAGCCTGGAAGGTCAAAGGTCATGGGATAAGTTAGGTTTAACTACTAGGGTTCCCTTCATTTTGTTTAAATGTCTTGTTGTCACTTTGCTGCACTCTCTCAGTTGCTAACGGCTTCCTCCTGCTCCTCAGCCGTCTGAGGAGTAACGTGGAGGGGAAGTACCTGATGGACAGCGTCCCCTTTAGCTGCTGCAGCACCTTCTCCCCTCGACCCTGCATCCAGCAGCAAGTCAGCAACAGCTCAGCCCATTTCAACTACGACCCTCAGAGCCAGCAGCGGAACCTGTGGAGGAGAGGCTGCCGACAGGCGCTGCTCGACCACTACACAAGCATCATGCAGTCCATCGGCCTCACCGTCCTCCTCATCTGGTTATTTGAGGTACTGCAGCCGCACCGTCAGCTCACACAATTAGGCCCAAGATCCAGAAGAAAACATCAGACTATGCCCCCCTTGCAGATATCAAGATGTTACAACTTTTTAATGTGCTTATTCGCTTTTCTTCTCTACTAGCTGCTGGTCCTGACCGGAGTCCGTTACCTGCAGACTGCCATGGAGAACGTCCTGCAGCTGGGTGATCCTGATTCAGAGTCGGATGGTTGGATTCTGGAGTACAGCCTCGCAGAAACAGCTCGGTCCAACTTCAACATCATCAAGAACCTGGGGAAGTGTTACCAGGCTGACAACGACCCAAATATCAACGTTCCGACTGTACCTGTCGAACAGGAAGTGCCATCGCTGCACATCCAGATCCCGACAACGAGCTGACCCCAACCCTGAGGAGTCACCGAATGCCGAGGAGGAGCTGGAGAATCTTAAGTTCAAAACCTCTGAATCAATGATTAACAATCAGTGACTCATCATCAGTAACACGAGGGTCTCTGCAGCAGTTTCAAACTTTCTCTTCAACCTTTTTTCTGACATGTTCAATTTAAAAAGAAGAACAGGAAACAAAACAACCTGAAGCAATACACTTTTCTTTTCTGTGCTGTGATTGGTTCGTTATGCCGCTGTGTCACAGCTCGACTGTGACATCGCTCATCAGAGAACTGATGGTTTCCTGCAGGGAGCTGCTGGTCCTCTGTACGGTGGCCTTAACACGTCAATGAGAATATTTCTGTAACTTATTAATAAGGTGTCACACCTACACCTTAAAATGTTAAACTGATGGTGGCGCTAGATGAAATTCACCAAAGTGTTTGCGGTTCATCCTGAGGGGACCATGATGATGACATCACAAGTCAAAACAGTTCAATTTCTTCTCTCTGTAAAAACTTGAGGCCTTTGTCCATTTTTTCCATTTCCACTTTGGTTCTGATGCTGAAAATGTTTTTATCTCAAAAGTTAGGAACAGAAGAACAGCTTCTTCTTCTTCTGCTTCTTCTTCTGCTTCTTCTTCTTTGATTTATTGGCATGTGGCCGACGTCATGGTCCTTTCCAACTTCTTACAGATCATAGAACATAAAACACAGAACATAGAACATAGATTATAGACCATAGAACACAGAACACAAATTGTAGAACATAGAACACAGATCATAGAAAACAGATCATAGAACACAGAACATAGCACATAGCACATAGAACACAGAACATAGAACACAGATCATAGAACACAGAACATAGAACACAGAACACAGATCATAGCACATAAAACAGATCATAGCTAAATCTGGTGAAACTGTTTTTTCTGTTTCTGATAAAATAAATAAACAACCTGTTTTAATTGTGTTTGTTTACATATATTGTTTAAATATATCACATAAATGTTTATGTTTTATTTCCTCACATGTTTCACAGAAAACATGATGATAACAATCTCAAATATAGGATCAGAGACACTGTGTCTCTCCTGTCTGT